TGCCTCTTCCATATATTCTTTAGATATAGAATCTCTTCCTGTTTTTCTTTTGTACGTTCTCATCCTAGAAATAAAAAATTAGTTAGGTATTTGTAAGTCAAACCTATACCGGGGCAAATTGTAACATGTTACATTTTGCCCCGGAGAATTTGTTATAACCTGCCCGAAACTTGCTTTTTTCGTTTTTTCGTTAAAAATCAAAATTTACTTACGTGCTTGAAATATAAACACCACCGACGATAACAGTAGCACTGGTAGGTACACGTTGCTCTTTACTTGCTACGTACTACTGACCTTCACGGGATCTTCTTTAAGCTCGATATGTTACAACTTACCTCGTGTTACAACTTGCCCCTAGACAACTACCTGGCAAATGCCACTGAATGTGTACAAATGTTTAATTCTCCACCTGGTCAAAAACAACCCCAGGATGCAATACTTTATTGGGTCTACCCAGGTAATCTGTGTTGCTGAACAAAATGATTTGAGAATTATTGTCACTGAAGACATGAAGTGGGAAAACCGTATCAATGGCCTCATTGGGAAGTCAAACTTCATCATATACCCGATTTCCAAGGAATTAAAGGATCCCACACTTTAAATGTTTGTGAAGCTGTACAAGGCTTAGGTACATAAGACCCAGGCTGGAGTATGCACAAAGCATAATATGGGTCCTTTGAAACACTTGAAAAAATCCAACTCAGAGCAACAACCATTTCCCGAGCAATTCGTGACCTTCCATACCAACAAAGGCTGCAGAGGCTGAACCTCCCTACACTTTATGAAAGACGAACGCGCGGGGATCTAGTTGAGACATTCAAAATAATAAGTGGACACTACAAGTGCTAGTTATGTGCGTTTGAGCTCAGTCACAGCCAACATCTAAGGGGTCATAACAAAAAACTTTTTTTTCTGCAAACGTCACTAAAAGTGTCATTTTTAACGGATGCTGTCAGTGTCTAAAATGCCATTTTATGACACTGGTGTTAAAAGTGATTACTTTTAGCACTAGTGCTAAAAGTAATCACTTCTAGTGCGTTTGTAGAAAAAATAGTGTATGATATTCGTGCTAAAAGTGACATTTTATTTTGTGAAAAGGAAAGTTTGGGACACGACGCCGAAGGCGGAGTGTTCCATCCCTTTGAACAAAATAAAATCACTTTTAGCACGAATATCATAAATAACTATTTTTTTATAAATGTGCCAGGCTTTTGCGTGTAAATTTTTTAACCGAGTAGTTTATAATGGGAGTCGACTCAGTTGGGACACTGTAAATGCAGCTTCAGTCAACCTGTTCAGAAACAGACTGGACAGTGGAATGGCTGAATGGGAAAGATCATTTGTGCACTATACCAATTAATATACATGTGTATAAATAGACATTTAAACTGTGCTAGGACAGTAATCCACTCAATACAATAGTCTCATTGGTTTATTTTTAACGCCCACTATTGTTAACTCATAAAAGTAATAATAATTTTTAGTTTCAATTTTATTTGAGGAAATTAATATTTTATTCTATATGTATTGTTTCATGTAACGACACTGTAAAAACAGTAGTTGCTAGAATAATGAAACTCAGTGTTATAAAGCCTCGTAAAATTATATTGCGACACATTAATTTCTAAAAAATTGCCCTTATGCGACGATGTAATTATTTCGAGTTAAAAATAATCCAAACCACAAAAAGTCCGTTCTAGAACTGCAGCCAAGTTGATGGATATCCACCCGTTGACAGTCTAATGTTTTCTTGTAGCCAGGATCTGGTCATTATCCTAGTTTAAAGCTAACTTTGCGACGGATGTTTTGCAATACTGGTCATGTTTATTGTCTTGTATCTCGGACGTTTTTGTCCTACTGTATTGTCCTTTGTCTTTAGCTACATTGTCGTCGTTCACTGAGAAGACACTTATGACGGGTTTTTGTTTTTCTTGAAGGAAATAGGGATTGCTTTGAATTCTCAGTTGAGCTAGTATAATATAAAGCGAGGCACCTATAACGCCAATCTGAGATATTATAACAGTGGGATTTCAAGAAATAATTAATTTTACAGGATGTTGAGAAATTGACGGGTATTTTCTCGTGCAGCGACAAAAGACTCATTTATGGATAAAAGGCTTTGCTATTTTCTTTAAGTCTCTAAAAATTATTTGATCAAATTAGATCCCTTGAATAAAATCGCAGTGCAGTCCAGCAAAGGCATAATAATACACGGTCAATCTCCTACACGTGTTTCCTAATTGGCTTCGTTAGTTCGAGTGTAACCTGATAACAAAAAGAAAACAAAAATACTATGATGGGAACCACAAACACATAAGAACGCAGTGTATTCTTGTGGCTTTAGGCTAAAGCAAAATGCTGTCTACCGTAAAATCCAGTGAAGGAACTTTCTCGTATAAAAAACAAGCAAGGAATAACCCAGACATGGATCAGAAAATAATCTAGAAACTAATTTAAAACAACAAAGCCGTTCAGAAAGGTATTAAAAAACGTTCAACAAGAAAAAATGACTATGTTAATTTTTTGTGCCTCATTGTTTCTTGAGATTCTTTATTTTTTACGTTTGCATTCTATAGTATAGATTGATAGGAATGTAGAAACATGTCTTTCCCTAATCGTATTTTAATGCACTGGTTTCCTGTTCTCGAAATTTTTGTGTCCTGCATGGTGTAAACAGGGCCTTCTTGGAGTCAAAACACTTTTAGAGTAAATTTGTTGTTGTTTTTATCTTTATAAATAGTGTGACCAAATTGAGATGTTATGTGTGCGTGTCACATCTTAAAATTTCGTGGTAAATTATGCTGAAAAGAAGCACCTTCTTCAACCGCACATTCCGACACGTAAGATCTTTCTATGCAACCACCAGTGTTTCAATGGGAATTTTGAAACAGAAAAGAAAAGACTAATTTTGAAAGATTAAAATTAATTTATTTATGATTGAAAAGAAAAGTTAGCGTTATTTAAATAATTTCATGTAACGACGCTGTTAAATTTAATTTTATTTTTTTTTAATTAATTTATTTAATTAACTTATTTAATTAATGAATCATAAACAATTTTTAACTAAAGAAAAATTAAAGATAAATGAAAGAAAATAGAGTAATTTCCCAATCAAAAAATTTAGTTCCAAAGTTGACACTTTATTGGAATTGAAATCAAAAATAAACTATCACCTCTTTGAAGAGCTTTTACTAAAACACCCGGCGGAAGATGAACTAGACGTTGAGAAACGGATCGAGAACTCGTTGAGACTTTGCGACTTAAATTTCCGGCGATAACTAGTAGTAAAAACTAGTGGCCAATTGGCGATAACTAAAGTTAACTGGCCTCAACATCTGCTTGAATAAGCGAAAGGAGCCACCATCTGGATACTACTTTAGAAGCCCATTGGCTACCCCGTAGTACCGGGCTTGCGAGAATCGACAAAGTCAAAGATCTCCAACCCTCTTAGCTTTCAGCGATTCGCTGAAAGTACCCTCTGATTTCTTGTTGATTTCCCATTGGTTCTCAAGTTTATTCAACCTTCACCATTCAAACTGCTTCACTCAGTGATCCAGTTTGATGGCTCTTCAACAGAGTTCGCTAGTTACATGTGGTCAAATTCTTAATTGAACATTCAATGTTTTCCCTTTCAATTGAAAACCTTTCACTTTTCTAATTACCTAATATGCTTTCTATTATTATTTCTTAATTTCTAACCTAGTCGAGTAAATAAAATAAACGTTCCCTTATTTCTAAACTAATTGAGTGAATAAAATAAAAGTTTCCTAATTTCTAATCTAATTATCAAGGGTGTGAAATGAACTAAACTATCCTCTATTAATTTAATAATAAAATAATTCAGTAATCACTCCTATCTCAACCTGCCTATATCTTAATTATAACTGAGCATTAAACTATCTTACAGTTAACATTTCACCCAAGTAATAACTCTTGATAATTATATTGTTATACAATTTGTTATTGTATCTTAAAAATCCAGCTCATGTAATTATTGCTTCGCTACACACACACATGCTTCGAATGTATATAAATTTTTCCAGCGGTATCAGTTACCTGACATCTGGGTTCGTCGTAAAACGTGGGTATTCAGAAGATTATCCTTGACTTTGAATAAATTATTACAACCACATGGGATCTGGTTCAGTCGATAGATTTCTTTAAAGTTAAGTGTTTATCTAGGAAAACATTTTTGCCAATATATTTTTCAATTTCGGGTTACAGCAATAATAACCTTAAAGCTATAAAATTCGATACTTCTCTGGCTTTCAAGTGATTTTTATCTTCGAACAGATTAGGTCGTTCGCAGAACTCTATGTGTTTGTGAATTTCATCAGGGTCGCATTTTAATTTATATTTCTCGAATAAAAATAAAAAATAAGTAGTGCTAAAGCAATAGATATAGATTATCCATTTTGTAAGAGTTTATTATTATTTTTTTGTAGCCTAAAGGGAGCGCAACTGGAAATTATAGAGACTTCCGGTTTGCACTGGACGTTTTCCCGATAATCCAGTCTCATAAATATCAAAACTTTAAATTGAAAAAGTTACTCAAAGCATATTACTATTAAAGATTTTGATTAAAGAGTAAACTAGAAGCATGCCGGAAGTTGTATTTTCCTTCATCAAATTTACCACTGAACTACCACAATAATAATTGTTGATAATAATAAATAAACAATGAATCCTTTTTCGATTTTCTCCAAAGAGGAATCGAAAACGCAATGCAAACACTGCAGCATTGTTTGCATCTGCGAGTATCACTAAGGTATAGAACCACCCACGTTGATTGCCTTCATTTGATCATAATAAGGAATAAGTATGTGCGCCGAGTGCTCTCCAGTGTATCCTCTTGTCCGATAGATTTCATGAGTCATCACTCATTAATCGGGATATGGATCTAGATCCTAATTTGTCAGATGATATATTTTCTTTTCAAATTGTTATAGAAGTAAAATAGAGCGACGTACTGATTATTTTTATTTTTTTTCCAATTTCAGCTCCTAGAAATCACGTGATCGAATTAGATTTCCGGGACGAGTTCGAAATCGAAAAATCGCCGGACTGCAAAAACGACTACTTGGAAGTTCGGGACGGCCAATATGGATTTAACCACGTCTTGCTGCACTTTTGCGGCATCCACGAATTTCCACCGAACGTCAGATCGTCCAACAGACACCTGTGGGTCTACTTCAAATCGGACGAGAACATCGAGGGTAGAGGATTTAGGGCCGTCTTCGATTTTGTACCACGTGCAAACAAATGTGAGTATTCAATATCAATATTATTCCTAATAGTAAATTCTGGAACAAATCAAAAATAGACTTTAGTGGACATCAGTACACGACTGTATGATTTAAAAACATATATCACTACTTTATGATTTATCGAAACTTTTCCACACCTATTGAAGCAGCATTGAACAGGAGAGTTTGAGAAGCAGTATCTGCCATATTCTGTGGCATTTCGAAGGCGTTTAACTGAAAAAAGATGGATCCAAAGGGCCTCAATCCAAAAGGTGAAGACTGGTGTATTATAGGGTTCAATCCTAAGGCCCCTTCTCTATAATCTTCATGTTAATAAGATCTCAATTTTAAACACATAGGCGCATGCGCTTTGGTTATGTGATAATAGAACATTACAAGTCGCGCTGTGGTAGCCATATTACACACGGAGAAACATGTTTGAAGCAGAAACTGTGTTATTAAATGATGCAAAGCCCAAGGAATGTTTGCAGTATTTACTATAAACAATGATTCACAGCAGAAGATGCTCAAAGCTACGACCACCCACCTCCATACTTGCGTGACAGCGCCGTAGCATAGCCTCCTGAACACGTTGAAAAATTCATGGTGTTTCGAGAATTTCAGCAGCTGCTGCAACAGTCCTTCCGACTAACTTCCTCTACCTGTTTCAACTGGAGTGTCGTAAACAAGAGCTTTCATATGACCCCATACAAAAAAGTCGCATTCCGTCAGGTCTGGTGAGCGTGGAGTCCATGCCCCCTTAATAATCACTCTTTCCAGATGTTTCGTTGAGATGGTCCCTTAAGGCCAACAAGTAATTTGGTGGTGGTATTTCGTGTTGGTACCCTATGTTTTGTCTGGCATACAGGGAAACAGTTTCGGGAAGGGTTTCCTGCAGAAATCTACTCGATATTTCTGCTACAACGCTGTTACACATACATTAAGGCGGGTGGTCGTAGTTTTGAGCATCTTTTGATGTGAATCATTATTTTAAATAAATACTGCAAGCATTCTTTGGGTTCTGTATTATTTAATAACACAGGTTCTGCTTTGCAAACACGTTTCTCCGTGTGCAAGGTGGCTACCACAGTGCTGACTGTAATGTGCTATTATCACCTAACCAAAGCGCATGCGCCTGTGGGTTTATAAGTAAAAAACATTTTTTCTCCAAACGTCAAAAAAACGTCACTTTGTCAGCACCTGTCAAGATGTTAGAAATTTAATTTCTATGCTGGTGGGCAAATCCAGCGGGTTAACATCTATCGAGGTGGTAGAAATTTAATTTCTATGCTGCTGGGCAACCGCAGCGGCAGTAGAAGTACTTTTAGTGCCGCTGGAGCGGCAGCAAAAGTACTTTTAGTGCCGCTCGTACTTTTACTGCCGCTTAACCATTCAGTTACCCCTGAGCTTATCCCATTCGTTTGGAGAAAAAATAGCGTGTTGCATACGGAGTAGAAGCACTTTTTGGGGCTTCAGCAGTATTGCAAGCCTCACTACGTTCGGCTCGCAAACCTACTGCTTCAGCACAAAAAAGTAAAGCGTCTACTCCTAATACAACAATATACTATATTTTGGTGAGATCTATCATTCCTCAATTTTTGGCACAATAGTTTCGGAACACCCGTTTATAAATTTATTGCTGAACTCGAATGACGAGTATTATAACAAACACAGTCTAGATGCTCAAAATAGTTGAGCTGGGCCTACAGGGTGTATCAGGTTTGACTACAAAAATTTTAACACGTGAAAATATGGCCCATTTTGAATACAAAAAGTTTATACTACATGGGGCCCAAACTCAACCTTTTTCAAGAAAAAGGCCTTTGAAGTTTTGACATTTTTTGACGAATATTTGGAAGATAAAGAAAATTTTAATCATTATGAGATATAAAAATATTTAGTTCAAGTAATTACGCATTTTTAGTCAACAACAATAGGTAATAAAAAATTGAAGAAACAACATGAAAATTTCACTGGTAAATCCGTATCTGACACACACTTGGGCGGCGTTCCGTATTTTAACCAGAGTTACCGATCGGTATGAAGCGGTTCATCTATCTATGGTAAGAATCTGATTGCTGAAAATGCGGTTTATGTGTGGAACACTTCGGTTCAGCTCTGGTTAGGCTTGGATGCTAGATGTTATTCTCTTAAAATTATATCTGTCATAAATGAATGTAATATTTACCTCTTGTTCCATTTTTACCGCAAATACACTTCGAAAGCGGAAGAAAAAAAAATTAAAAAAATATCACCTAACCTAACAAACAAATATCAGAAATTGAAAAAAAAAAAAACTAAGCTTTTTGATCGGTAGATTCGGTTGACAATTGGGACCGAATTTTTCAGGAACCGCATTCCATAATCTAACTAGATTTCAGGAGTGGTTAGGTTACGGAACGGGAACCGGATAAACCAAGAATCTTGGTTAACTTACAGAACGCCGCCTTGATTTGTCTTGTCAGTTATTTGTTTCGTACTTCGCCATCGATGCCGACGTTTCTATTGACTATGTTACCCAGATAATTAAAGTTATCAACATATTCCAGCATGTCCCCTTCTATTACAACATCTGTTTCTGGAGTTTGTGTAGGAGAAGCCCTAATTTTTGTTTTGCTGACATTGATTTTCAGGTCAAGCGCTTTGTACGCCCCAAAGGACGTTGCAAAAATGTCCCGTGAGTTCTTTGCAGAGTTAGGTAGTGAGCCACAGTCGTCCGCATATTGGAGTTCGGTAGGGCACATAGGTTTTGTCCCTGCTCTGAGACGTTTTAGGTTAAATAGACGGCCATCGAATCTGTATTTAAGTTCCAAGCCTCTGGTTTGTATTCTTTCGTCCACAATAATAGAGAGAGCAGCAACGAATACATTGAAGAGAGGACGCAAGGACATACCCTTTGCGGACACCAGTTCTTGTTTGAAAGGGGTCTGTGGCTGAACCATTATGCAACACGACTGCCGAATTGTTTTCGTGTAAACTTCTGCATACCTGTAGGAACCTTTTTGGCACACCAAAACGTTTCATTGTAGCCCATAATGCTTCTCTATTTATGCCTTAGCGAAATCAAGAAATGCTTTATACAATAGAGCTTGTGGCTACTTCACTTTTTCTTGTAGTTGCTTAAGAGTGAAAATCAGGCCTGTTGTTCACCTGTTTGGTCAACAGCCACACTGAGATTTCAAGATGATGATGATGGTTTGATAGTCGTGAAGCCACGACTCTAGCCAAAATTTTTCTATCTGTAGATGGAAGAGAGATACATCTGTTATTACCACAGTCTGAAGCACTTCCTTCATTTTTGAACAGGCTGACTATTTCTGCATCTCTGAAGTCTTGTGGAACTATGCCTGTGTTGGAAACTGATTGCGGATGTTCTATTGTGGTGTCGCTTAAGCCGGCTTCACACGGTCCGGCAGGCCTGTCAGTTTGACCTGAACAGTCCGACTGAAGACCGGTCGCCTGAATGTGTATATATTCCGGTCGATCTGTCAGTTAAGACTGTTCAGGCGGCCGGAGAAAAATCAAAAATATGTTCGTTCATCCGGCCAGCCTGATATACTCAAAGGCAAGACTGAATGTGTGTATGGCACGGTCGACAGTGAGACCGTCAGTTCAGATAGTTCAGTAGTGAGTAGTGAGCTAATTGAAATGTCTGCATGCCCAGAAAATCCAACACACTGGCAATTTATCGCGATTTATCATAGCGAGTCGTGTCTGTGGAAAATAAATCGAAAAAATTTCACGATCGTGGCAAGAAAGAGGCGTATTTGAAATTCTCGTACGAAATCCGCCATGTTCTCAAAAAAATCAATATTACATGATGATTGAGACTGATGAATATTCCAGATTTGCCTGAACATTTGGAGGGTAATCAGTCTCCCCGGCGACCAGCCATCAGGCTAACTGTTCAGTTCGAACTGACAGGCCTGCCGGGACGTCTGTAGCCGGCTTTAGAGTTTTATAAGCTTTGCGGGAATATTATCATTACCTGAAGCTTTAAGTGCGTTGATTGCTAGTTTTATTTCATCGGCTATGATTTCCTGGTCAAGAGACTGGTTCAGTGCATATTGGGGCACTAGGTTATTAACTTCAAGATCGACGTTTGTTCCCAAATTTAGAATCGTAGAGTAGTGCTCTTTCCACCTGTCCCTGATTTGTAACTCTTCTGTCAGGAGATCTTCGTTAGCATCTTTTATGGGGCAAGTCTTTCTATTAGTGTGTTACTTATACACTACTTGAACAGCATTATAAAAGTTTTGTTGGTCATGTTGATTAACGAACTCCTGGATCTCTTGGGCCTTAAATGTCCACCACGCGTTTTTGATGATTTGTTTTTGCGTTAGTTTCTTGATTAATTTGAATTTCAATGTGCGCCAGGATCGTTTGGATTACTTTGCAATGCCTGAAAAGCGTTATGCTTAGTCTGTAGAATGTGTTTAATGAGTTCGCTGTTATCGTTAAACTAGTTAGGCTGACGGCCTAAGCTGGTTTTTTTTGTAACGTTGCCGTTGCTGCGCTGGTCTCATACAGTAAGGCGCGTAGTTATGACCAAGATGATTCTGCCTCATTGTTGACTGGAAGTGATGTCACTTTTTCTTCAACTCTCCGACGTAGTACCTCCGTAACTTCTAGAGAGCAGAGTCTTGTTAGGTTTAGGCGTGGCCTTTTGACATTTTTTGACATTCTTTTGTATCGGGGTTTAAATTTCAGCGACATCTTCGATAGAACAAGTCGATGGTCCGCCCAGTTTTCCATAAACGGTATAGCTTTTACCTCTCTCAACTGCGACTTTTTGACGATTATGTAGTCAATCAAGTGCCAATGACCAAACCTATGGTGAAGCCATATTCCTTTGTACTTGTTTTTTTGACCAAATATCGTGTTTATAATGACGCGGTTGTGCGCCGCGCATTTTTCCAGTAACAGTTTTCCATTCGAGTTACAGTTGCAAATTCCGTTTGTGAGGATTAGGTACTCCGAGCCAGAACTTAGCTTGTTGATCCACTCTGGCATTGAAG